TCTGAATACTTTAGACCTGGTTTAGACCTGGTTTTAGACCTGTTTAGACCTGGTTTTAGACCTGTTTTAGACCTGTTTTAGACCTGTTTTAGACCTGGTTTTAGACCTGGTTTAGTCCTGGTTTTAGACCTGGTTTAGTCCTGGTTTTAGACCTGGTTTAGACCTGTTTTAGACCTGTTTTAGACCTGTTTTAGACCTGGTTTTAGACCTGGTTTAGTCCTGGTTTTAGACCTGGTTTAGTCCTGGTTTTAGACCTGGTTTTAGACCTGGTTTAGACCTGGTTTAGACCTGGTTTAGACCTGGTTTAGACCTGGTTTTAGACCTGGTTTAGACCTGGTTTAGACCTGGTTTAGTCCTGGTTTTAGATCTGGTTTTAGACCTGGTTTAGACCTGGTTTAGACCTGGTTTTAGACCTGGTTTTAGACCTGGTTTAGTCCTGGTTTTAGACCTGTTTTAGACCTGGTTTAGACCTGGTTTAGACCTGGTTTTAGACCTGGTTTAGTCCTGGTTTTAGATCTGGTTTTAGACCTGGTTTAGACCTGGTTTAGACCTGGGTTTAGACCTGGTTTAGACCTGGTTTAGACCTGGTTTTAGACCTGGTTTAGACCTGGTTTAGACCTGGGTTTAGACCTGGTTTAGACCTGGTTTAGACCCTGGTTTTAGATCTGGTTTTAGACCTGGGTTTAGACCCGGTTTAGACCTGGTTTAGACCTGGTTTAGACCCGGTTTAGACCTGGGTTTAGATCTAGTTTAAACCTGGTTTTAGACCTGGTTTAGACCTGGTTAGACCTGGGTTTAGACCTGGGTTTTAGACCTGGTTTTAGACCTGGTTAAATGTCCGGCAGTGAGTGGAATTACCAAAAAAAAAAGAAAAAAAAAGAAAAATGGATATAGCCTAAAATATTAAAACAGCAAAATACCTCTGTGTAATTTATTTATTTCAACCAAGTAACTGTAATCCAAATACCACTCACTAAAACAGCAACTGTAACTGAATACAGTTACTCATAATTTGTACTCTGATTACGTAACTCTGGTACATGTAATCTGTTACTCCCCAACACTGTATATGACCAACTGAATACAAGGTTTTACATGCAGTTATGTATTTGTTGATCTGTTAGATATGTCGTATTTAAGTTTTAGTACGAACACCAGACCTCTGAGGCGTCAAGTAATCAGATTATGTGGTTTACTACATAGATTTACTACAATACCTTTTATACACTTCATATTTTTTCAGTTCTATTGTTTTTGCGGTTATGTAAGTGCTATAAAAATGTTAATATTCTTGTGTGAATGCTGCAAGATGAGCTGTATGTTTAAATATACAGATAGTCGATGGAATGGGGTTAGTTTTACATTGACTGGATGAAAGATTGTGTTAATTTAAAGCGTTTTTGAGTGTCCAGAAAAAGCTCTATATATAAAACTGAGTCATTATTAGTTAATATATTATTGCGTTTACTCTATTTATGACATCAGCTTTTACAGGGAGTGAAGGTGGAAATGAGCAATCTTGCTATAACCTGGCACAAATAAGGTCAATGTTTTATTTTATCTGCGTTGTCCTTAATAAAAACAAATATTCAAACTAAACTAAAAGTACGTGGAGTGAGAAAAAAACATGGCTATAAATGTTTCTTTCGTTCGCCCCAATAAAGTCGATGTTATGTGTGAATTAATAACGTTCACTATCGAGCACTGATTGTACAAAACAGCATAAAAAAACCCCAAAGTGAAGCCCGCGGCGTCAACGCAAAGAGAACGAAGTCTGACCTTAGTCCTGGTTTTAGACCTGTTTTAGACCTGGTTTTAGACCTGGTTTAGTCCTGGTTTTAGACCTGGTTTAGACCTGGGTTTAGACCTGGTTTAGACCTGGTTTAGACCTGGTTTAGACCTGGTTTAGACCTGGTTTAGACCTGGTTTTAGACTGTTTAGACCTGTTTAGACCTGGTTTTAGACCTGGTTTAGACCTGGTTTAGACCTGGTTTAGACCTGGTTTAACCTGTTTTAGACCTGGTTTTAGACCTGGTTTAGACCTGGTTTTAGACCTGGTTTAGACCTGGGTTTAGACCTGGTTTTAGACCTGTTTTAGACCTGTTTTAGACCTGGTTTTAGACCTGGTTTTAGACCTGGTTTAGACCTGGGTTTAGACCTGGTTTAGACCTGGTTTAGACCTGGTTTTAGACCTGGTTTAGACCTGGTTTAGACCTGGTTTTAGACCTGTTTTAGACCTGGTTTAGACCTGTTTTAGACCTGGTTTTAGACCTGGTTTAGACCTGGTTTTAGACCTGGTTTAGACCTGGTTTTAGACCTGGTTTAGACCTGGTTTAGACCTGGTTTAGACCTGGTTTTAGACCTGGTTTAGACCTGGTTTTAGACCTGGTTTTAGACCTGTTTTAGACCTGTTTTAGACCTGTTTAGACCTGGTTTTAGACCTGGTTTTAGACCTGGTTTTAGACCTGGTTTAGACCTGGTTTAGACCTGGTTTTAGAACCTGGTTTTAGACCTGGTTTAGACCTGGTTTAGACCTGGTTTTAGACCTGTTTAGACCTGGTTTTAGACCTGGTTTTAGACCTGTTTTTTAGACCTGTTTTAGACCTGACCTGGTTTAGACCTGGTTTTAGACCTGGTTTAGACCTGGTTTAGACCCTGGTTTAGACCTGGTTTTAGACCTGGTTTAGACCTGGTTTAGACCTGGGTTTAGACCTGGGTTTAGACCTGGGTTTAGACCTGGTTTAGACCTGGTTTTAGACCTGGTTAAATGTCCGGCAATGAGTGGAATTACCAAAAAAAAAAAAAAGAAAAAGGGATATAGCCTAAAATATTAAAACAGCAAAATACCTCTGTGTAATTTATTTATTTCAACCAAGTAACTGTAATGCAAATACCACTCACTGAAACAGTAACTGTAACTGAATACAGTTACTCATAATTTGTACTCTGATTACGTAACTCTGGTACATGTAATCTGTTACTCCCCAACACTGTATAAGAACAACTGAATACAAGGTTTTACATGCAGTTATGTATTTTTTGATCTGTTATGTATGTCGTATTTAAGTTTTAGTACGAACACCAGACCTTCGAGGCATCAAGTAATCAGATTATGTGGTTTACGACATAGATTTACTACAATACCTTTTATACACTTCATATTTTTTCAGTTCTATTGTTTTTGCGGTTATGTAAGTGCTATAAAAATGTTAATATTCTTGTGTGAATGCTGCAAGATGAGCTGTATGTTTAAATATACAGATAGTCGATTGAATGGGGTTAGTTTTACATTGACTGGATGAAAGATTGTATTAATTTAAGCGTTTTTGAGTGTCCGGAAAAGCTCTATATAAAACTGAGTCATTATTAGTTAATATATATTGCGTTTACTCTATTTATGACATCAGCTTTTACAGGGAGTGAAGGTGGAAATGAGCAATCTTGCTATAACCTGGCACAAATAAGGTCAGTGTTTTATTTTATCTGCGTTGTCCTTAATAAAACAAATATTCAAACTAAACTAAAAGTACGTGGAGTGAGAAAAACATGGCTATAAATGTTTCTTTCGTTCGCCCCAATAAAGTCGATGTTATGTGTGAATTAATAACGTTCACTATCGAGCACTGATTGTACAAAACAGCATAAAAAAACCCCAAAGTGAAGCCCGCGGCGTCAACGCAAAGAGAACGAAGTCTGACCTTAGTCCTGGTTTTAGACCTGTTTTAGACCTGGTTTAGATCTAGTTTAGACCTGGTTTAGACCTGTTTTAGACCTGGTTTAGACCTGGTTTAGACCTGGTTTAGACCTGGTTTAGACCTGGTTTTAGACCTGTTTTAGACCTGGTTTAGTCCTGGTTTTAGACCTGTTTTAGACCTGGTTTAGACCTGGTTTTAGACCTGGTTTAGACCTGTTTTAGACCTGGTTTAGACCTGGTTTAGACCTGGTTTAGACCTGGTTTTAGACCTGTTTTAGACCTGGTTTAGACCTGGTTTAGACCTGGTTTAGACCTGTTTAGACCTGGTTTTAGACCTGGTTTTTAGACCTGGTTTTAGACCTGGTTTAGACCTGGTTTAGACCTGGTTTAGACCTGGTTTAGACCTGGTTTAGACCTGGTTTAGACCTGTTTTAGACCTGGTTTAGACCTGGTTTAGACCTGGTTTAGACCTGGTTTTAGACCTGGGTTTAGACCTGGTTTAGACCTGGTTTAGACCTGGTTTTAGACCTGTTTTAGACCTGTTTACCTGTTTTAGACCTGGTTTAGACCTGGTTTTAGACCTGTTTTAGACCTTTTAGACCTGTTTTAGACCTGGTTTTAGACCTGGTTTTAGACCTGTTTTAGACCTGGTTTTAGACCTGGTTTAGACCTGTTTAGACCTGGGTTTTAGACCTAGACCTGGTTTAGACCTGGTTTAGACCTGGTTTAGACCTGGTTTTAGACCTGGTTTTAGACCTGGTTTTAACCTGTTTTAGACCTGTTTTAGACCTGTTTTAGACCTGGTTTAGACCTGGTTTTAGACCTGTTTTAGACCTGGTTTAGACCTGGTTTAGACCTGGTTTAGACCTGTTTTAGACCTGGTTTAGACCTGGTTTTAGACCTGTTTTAGACCTGGTTAAATGTCCGGCAATGAGTGGAATTACCAAAAAAAAAAAAAGAAAAAGGGATATAGCCTAAAATATTAAAACAGCAAAATACCTCTGTGTAATTTATTTATTTCAACCAAGTAACTGTAATCCAAATACCACTCACTGAAACAGTAACTGTAACTGAATACAGTTACTCATAATTTGTACTCTGATTACGTAACTCTGGTACATGTAATCTGTTACTCCCCAACACTGTATATGAACAACTGAATACAAGGTTTTACATGCAGTTATGTATTTTTTGATCTGTTAGATATGTCGTATTTAAGTTTTAGTAAGCACTGATTGTACAAAACAGCATAAAAAAAACCCAAAGTGAAGCCCGCGGCGTCAACGCAAAGAGAACGAAGTCTGACCTCTGAACGTGACTTTGGCGACGCGGTCACTCTTCCCCTTCAGGTGAGCCGCTGTCTTCAGGTGAACCATAAGAGCCATCATGAGTCCGCCCGGGTCCAGCAGCAGGAGCAGCAGCCCTCCACCACCGCCCCAAACTAAACTTCAACTGGAGAACGCAAAAAAAAAAAAACAGAGAACAACCACAAAAAAAAATCACTGGTCCGGTTCAGATCCGGTGGGAAAAGCCGGTGTAATCCATACTGGCCAAATGAGAAGGATCGGTGGAGAAACGCATGTCTCCCGTTGCGCTGGCTGCTCCGGAGGCTGCAGCTCTGCTTTGTCGCGCATCTCCTCCGCCGTGCTCTGGTTTTACTCCTCTCGCTGTGCGCCGGAGGAGGGGGGAGGGGCCACACAGGATGCTCCCATTGAAGAATACGGCAGCAGCTGACGCTCTGGGCAGGATCTGGGCAGAGCAAAAACGCAGTCCGACAACACTACTACTACTACTACAGTGTTGGGAAATGTATTCCCCTACAGATTACAGATTACATACTCCAAAATGTAGTTTGTAACGGAATCCATTAAAATACTTAAAAGTGAGTAACGTAATCTGAATACTTTGGATTACTTGATATGGTCATGTTTTTTAAGACTACATGAATGTAACAACCACATCCTGAAAATTCATGTTTGTTCTCTTCAAATTGGCCCTGGTTTAGACCTGCTTTAGTCCTGGTTTAGTCCTGGTTTAGACCTGGTTTAGTCCTGGTTTAGTCCTGTTTTAGTTTAGTCCTGTTAGTTTTAGGTTTAGTCCTGGTCCTGGTTTAGACTTGGTTTAGACCTGGTTTAGTCCTGGTTTTAGTCCTGGTTTAGTCCTTGTTTAGACCTGGTTTAGTCCTGGTTTAGACTTGGTTTAGACCTGGTTTAGTCCTGGTTTTAGTCCTGGTTTAGTCCTGGTTTAGTCCTTGTTTAGACTTGGTTTAGACCTGGTTTAGTCCTGGTTTAGTCCTGGTTTAGACCTCGTTTTAGTCCTGGTTTAGTCTTGGTTTTAGTCCTGGTTTAGACCTGGTTTAGACCTGGTTTAGTCCTGGTTTAGTCCTGGTTTAGACCTGGTTTAGACCTGGTTTAGTCCTGGTTTAGACTTGGTTTAGACCTGTCCTTTTTAGACCTGGTTTAGTCCTGGTTTAGTCCTGTTTAGACTTTTTAGACCTGTTTAGTCCTGTTTTAGACCTGGTTTAGTCCTGGTTTAGTCCTTGTTTAGACTTGGTTTAGACCTTGTTTTAGTCCTGGTTTAGACCTGGTTTAGACCTGGTTTAGTCCTGGTTTTAGACCTGGTTTAGACCTGGTTTAGTCCTTGTTTAGACTTGGTTTAGACCTGGTTTAGTCCTGGTTTTAGACCTGGTTTTAGACCTGGTTTAGTCCTGGTTTAGTCCTTGTTTAGACTTGGTTTAGACCTTGTTTTAGTCCTGGTTTAGACCTGGTTTAGTCCTGGTTTTAGACCTGGTTTAGTCCTTGTTTAGACTTGGTTTAGACCTGGTTTAGTCCTGGTTTTAGACCTGGTTTTAGACCTGGTTTAGTCCTGGTTTAGTCCTTGTTTAGACTTGGTTTAGACCTTGTTTTAGTCCTGGTTTAGACCTGGTTTAGACCTGGTTTAGTCCTGGTTTTAGACCTGGTTTAGACCTGGTTTAGTCCTTGTTTAGACTTGGTTTAGACCTGGTTTAGTCCTGGTTTAGTCTTGGTTTTAGTCCTGGTTTTTGTCCTGGTTTTTGTCCTGGTTTAGCCCAAAATGTGAAAACAGGAAAATGCCGCAGTGTAATTTATTTCTTTCAACAAAGTAACTGTAATCCAATTACCACTGACTGAAACAGTAACTGTAACCGAATACAGTTACTCATAATTTGTACTCTGATTACATAACTCCGGTACTTGTAATCTGTTACTCCCCAACACTGCTACTACTACTACAATTGTCTATGTTTAGCTGGAGCAAAACGGACTCTTGTGAGCTTTAAGTCATGTTAGAATGTTGTTACCTCATTAAAAACAGATCAGGACTTGTGTTTTGTTTCATTCACACGTTTTCAAAATGCTCTGTTTTACTTCGTGATGTCATAAAGAAATAGTTTTCAAGTGAACAGCTGCTTTTTACCTTATATTCAGTGAAGATTGGCAATGCACCTTCACTAAATGATTCTAGCGAAGGTGTACGGAGTTTAAAAACACAGTGGAGCACTTGCTGTATTACCACATGACATCACAAGGTGGTCTCACGTAGGGCTGAGGATCATTCAGAAGTTGACGATACGATACATACCTCAATACATAAGCCATGATACGATACAGTGAGCTTACAATTCAATACGATTTGATTCGATATATTTAAAATTGATTTGATATGGTTTAATAAAAAAAATAAAGGCAAAATCATGGCTGTGATACTAAAAGCTTTTGTTAAACCACTTCTTGTGCAAAGTGAAAAGGAAACACCAACATTTTAATCATCAAAATGTCAAATGTGTCGCATAAAAGAGTTTCCTTCATTTGAAAAAACAACAAAAAATACTCTTGGCGATATGTCCATACAGCAGCCCACAATATCAATACTGTATCATCACATTAAAGGTTGTATGGAGGATTTTTTTTGTTTCAAGTTGTCAATGATAGATTATAGAGATGCAGTAGCCTTGTAATTATGATGACCAAAAAAAAGAGAATAAAAATTCATCAACTCTGGACGTGGTGGGGCTAAACATTTGCCAATAGATAACGACACTGCCTCGTTATCTGTGAGCTGACAGGCTGTCAATCAAACTCCCTACGTTTCTAGCGTAACTGACTTGCCTGCGCTGCCGGTACGTGGTTTACGTACGACTGTCACGCAGTCCACAGACGCAAGACGCACAGACGCTGTTTACTCCACCAACGCAACAGTTCTTAGCGGCTTTTTTTGACCTATATCTTCCTCGCAGTTCGCACAAAGTTTGTTGCAATGGCGACAAGAATCCAGGAGCAGTTCGCCGCAAAAGAAAGTCGGTTTTTGAGGTCGCTGAAAGAAGAAGACAAGGGGAAAAGCAGCGAAGCCAAACTAAGGTGATTCTTGGAGATTCATTCCAGCGATGGCGCGAACTGAAGCAGACGAGGGGTCTAAAGACTGACGCACTGGTCCACAAATTACTCCTGGACAGGAAACTTCTGCTTATTATGAAAACGTACTTTATTTCGCTAGACAAACGTTTTTCAGGACACGAAAGCGATATCCTATGTCTGAAAACGTAATTTTCAAGGCAAAGAAAGAGTCCGCTTGCTGCTGCGTGTTGTAGCTAGTTCATTCGCACTGAATCTCCGCGCACCCAAACCTGTTTCTGGCGTAAGGAGGAGGCGGGAGGAGGCGTTTCTACGTAGGAGCTGTAGGGGAGGGGGGGTGGTTTCACGCATGCGCAACATTTGAAAAAGGACAAACAGTCGCTGGATTTCTCGTTCCTTGGAAAATCCTCTATACAACCTTTAAACGATACAGTACTGTTTTCTGTTTGAGAGAAGAACTCAGCTCTAATATGCAGGGTTTGTGTGTTAAACATGTGTGAATGAAACAAAACACAACTTATGTAGTAATGAAGTATGCCATGTTTAACAACAAATAGTGTAAGTCTATGTTTATATGATGACGGTCTGAACAGAAGACGCACAAGTGGTCTTCACTTTTTATTCCGTGTTTAGACAAGTGTTCTCAAGAGGAGATCTGCGCGCATACAGTGACGCAAAAGTGTGTGGAATTTGATTGTGTATGCATGCCAGGTTTCTGTGTACTGTATGTATGTGACGTGAACATGTACGCGACGTGAGCAGACCTGACCAGAGTTACGGCAGAGCGTATTCAAATTTTGCATTCTGGAGAGAGAGTGGTTTCAGATTTTTGCATTTTTAAGCCTCAAAAACGCCACACAAACTCTTGGTCTGAAAAAACCTAATAACATAAAATATCGAAAGACTAAATGAACCCCTTTGGACTATGCAACAAACCGTTTGGATCAGGATATAAGCTGAGATAGCTGCTGCATTCCCCAAATGCCCAGTCCCCAAATGTTAGTGCATATGCAGGACCTTCCTACTTCCTACTTGTTTCTAGTTGTCGCAAATTTGCAACATACCCAAATTTCAATTTCAAGCTCAATTTACCATCTACTTAAAGGCAAAAACACACACAAAACACTTTTTTTTTTTTAAATATACGCCTATATAAATCCAGGGGTTAATATCTGATCTTTGATACTTTTGACAATCCTGTTCCAAAGTCGTCACCAGCAAATCTATTATTTTTTGTCAGTCCTGTCTGAACAATGACAGGAAGGGCATCTGTTATATAATAATGTCACTGCTATTTGCACTAAAGAATGAACAATAAAATAAAAACAAACACATGACACACTGCGCAGTATCACAGCCATTCTTGGATTTACAGAAAAGTGTGGATTATAATTGACTGTGGACTGCTGCATAACGTGTTTGCACATTGTGATGGTGAAGTCTGAGTAAAGAGTTGGAAGTTGGAGGTGCAGGTCCTGCTCTGTGGGGCAGGATGCAGTTGCCAGGCAACTCTAGTGTAGGTTGTTCTGATGCGGAGCAGAAGAACAGTGAGTCTGAGGGCTGCTGCTCCCTCTGCTCTTTACTGTTTCATCGCTACAAAGAAAAAAAAAAGAGCTGAGGAGGTGAGATGTGTGTTCGAGGCAGGAGGAGACTGGGTGTGTGTTCACTTTGATGAGATCATGTAGAGCAACATGGGGTTTATTGTTAGTGAGGGGCCATTTCAAGAGATCGAGATTAGCAGGGATGTAACAATAACCGAAATATCGTGATATCGTATCGTCAAAGTTCTCACAATAATATCATGAACCATCACAATATATCGAATTGCTTAAATTAAGAGTTATGGTGCAGCAACAGCTAAAAGCAACAGAGGGAACTACATAGACCATGATCCTTTGCTCCATTTCAGTGCAGACTATAAGAAGAAATAACAATTCTAAGCACTTTTAAGTCTTCGTTCTTTGGATTAAGTCTTGTCAAGGCATTTTAAGAGGAAAAAGTAGCAAATATTAACAGTTTTGTTCGCAGCCTCCACAAAATA